CTCGGAGAAGTGCCATTTTATGGTTCGTGAGGGGATTATGCTCAGTCACAAGATCTCCAAGCAGGGGATTGAGGTGGATCGCGCGAAGATGGAGACGATCAGTAAGCTACCTCCTCCCATTTCTGTGAAGGGGATCAGCAGCTTTCTGGGTCATGCAGGCTTCTACCGACATTTTATTAAAGATTTTTTGAAAATTGCTCTGCCTCTGATCAAGCTGCTGGAGAAGGATGAACCATCCCATTTCACTTTGGAGTGCACAGCTGCATTCGATACCTTGAAGGAGAAGCTTACACATGCACCCATCATGGTGACTCCTGATTGGTCTCTTCCCTTTGACCTGATGTGAAATGCGAGTGTTTTTGCAGTCGGAGCTATTCTGGGTCAGAGACGCGAGAAACATTTACAGCCCATTTACTACGCGTCGAAGACCCTAAACGATGCACAGGAGAAATACACCACCACCGAGAAGGAGCTGCTCGTTGTGGTGTATGCATTTGACAAATTTTGACCTTATCTGGTGCTCTCCCATGTGGTGGTCTACACAGACCACTCTGCGATTCGCTAGTTGGAAGCCCCTACAAGGCTGATGCAAAGCCTAGGCTCGTCCGCTAGATCCCGCTTCTTCAGAAATTTAATATCGAGATCCGGGACAAGAAGGGAGCCGAAAATGTTGTTGCAGATCATCTTTCACAGTTAGAAGCCCCTCCGGTGGACAACCTCGTGGAAGATATTAATGACTCCTTCCCGGGTGAGCGATTGCTGGCGATGACCTTGGTAGAGAGCGTCGCCCCTTGGTATTTTTATTTTGCCAACTATCTAGTAGGCAAACAGTTGCATAAGGGGATGGCCACTCATTCCAAGCGCAAGTTCTTCTCTGATCTGAAGCATTACTTCTTGGAGGATCCTTACCTCTTCAGGATCGGAGCAGATGGCGTGATCCGGCACTGCGTTATGGAGCACAAGATGGGAGATATCCTATCTCAATGCCACGAGGGACCTACTGATGGTCAACATTGACGAAACCACACGACGCAGAAGGTGCTACAGTCGGGCTTCTACTACCCCTCACTTTTCAAAGATGTAGATACCTTCGCACGACAGTGCGATCGCTGCCAGAGGTCAGGTAACATTTCTTCCAGGGATGAGATGCCCCAACATATATCTATCGTTTGTGAAATTTTTGATGTTTGGGGCATCGATTTCATGGGCCCATTCCCTCAAATCTTTTGGTAATCTATATATACTGGTTGTAGTGGATTACGTCTCGAGGTGGGCAGAAGCTCAAGCCATGCCCACCAATGATGCAAGACGTGTCTGCTCATTTCTGAAGCAGCTGTTCTCCCGGTTCGGGACACCTCGAGCCATTATTAGTTATAGAGGAACCCATTTTCAAGGGCAATTCTCTAAACTACTCTCTCGCTATGATGTTTCACATAAGGTGTCGGTGGCGTACCATCCCCAAATAAATGGTCAAGCCGAGCTGACCAACCGGGAGCTTAAACGGATACTTGAAAAGACAGTGGATCAATCTCGAAAGGATTGGTCCTCCATGCTCGATGATCCTCTCTCGGCATACAGGACAGCCTAGAAGACCCTGATTGGTACTTCACCATATCGCTTGTCTATGGAAAGGCTTGTCATTTGCCGGTTGAGCTAGAGCACAAGGCCTTCTGGGCCCTTAAGTTGCTGAATCTGGATTTGGGTGTTGTAGGTACTGAACGTAAGTGGCAGCTGCTGGAGTTGGAGGAATGGCGTTACCACGCCTATGAGAATACCCGGCTCTACAAGGAGCGAACTAAGCTTCTCCATGACGCTTGGTTGAAGGGCCCGAAAGAGTTTCAAGTCGGTGATTGTGTTTTGCTTTATAATTCATGCTTGAAACTCTTTCCGGGCAAGCTGCGATCAAGGTGGTCGGGACCATTCACGATCACCCAAGTATTCCCGCATGGTGCGGTAGAGATCAGCAATGCTCAAACTGAGCAGTTTAAGGTGAACGACCACCTCCTCAAGCTGTATCTGGGGGGTGATGTGGAGCCCGCAGAGCTGTTGATCAAGCTCGAGGACCCTTAGTCCCTCTGTGGGTGTCCAGCTAAAAGAAGATAAAGAAGAGCTTGTTGGGAGGCAACCCCACCACGGTTTGCATTTTATTTCCTTTTTCCTTTTTTATTTTGTCGCTTTTCGAGTCTCTGAGTCTGTCTGGAATGTATTTCGTGCCCTGGGTGGTCAGTTTGTGTCTGTGGTTGTGTGTTTTTTCGAGTTGGGGCACGAATGGGGTTGGATGTTTGAAATTGCGGTTTGAAGTTTTTGATAGGGGTGGCTCGGACTTAAAAGCACGGGCACAGGGGAGAAAAGCACGGTCGTGTTTTTTCCCCACTTGCCCGTATTTCACTGCCTCTCCCAGACCTGCTCTTGCACATGTATTTAAACAAACAAGTGAAGTATATCATTTTTAAAAGATTACTCACACACACATAAATATTGAATTACACACCATCGGCAAACAATGAAATTATAAGGGTTGTTGTCAAACATCACTAATAAGTGAAAGTGACGATAAGTGAGAGGTTGAAGGAGAAGAGCTTTGGTGGCAGTGTAGTAAGAGGGGAGGGGTGGGGTGGGGTGTAAGTTGTAGGGATGGGGAGCATTGTGCATCAAGTTATGGCCAAGTTGTTGTAGCAAGGAAAGTCATATAAGAGGATGTTGGACACAACGTTGCATGCACCTGAGGGAGAGGACATTCGCGATTGAAAACTAAATGCGACATGTGATGGTTTGGACACAGTGAAAAGAGGAGAGTGGAGAAGAAGCGATGATGAATTAGAGATGAGGGATTCGTAGAAAGGAAGTCTAAAAAAGCGATTTAAAAGCTAGCTTGTAAGAATTTTACAGGCCGTAAGCACTTTTGCTTAGACTTCTGGTGCAAAACACTTTTAGAATAAAAGCTATAATTTGTTTGACTATTTATTGATTGTCGCAATTGGTTGTTTGGTATTCTGTTATTCTCTATCTCGAACTTCTATCTATGATAAAAAAAAAAACTTCTGCCACCTGGAATCTCGTGAAAGTGGTCTATTTTATTTTATTTTTCATTAATAATTAATGTTATTATAGTCATTTTATATCGGTCATGCCTGAATATAACTCGTAGTAGAGAAGGCAAACAGAGTTTATTGGAATAGGATTACTAGATTAAGGAACATGGGAGGTTAGAGATTGGGAAGGTTTAGGGTATAATCTTGGTTATTCATTTGTACATAATTAGATTTGGCCCATTGATATATTGAGCAAGTTTAGATTTAAAGAGTGAGATTAATTTTTTTTTAATTTTTCTTCTTTTTTAATCGATTTGTGTATTTTTTTAAATGAATTTTAAATTATTTTTCAAAAATTGAACAAGTTCTATGTGATAAACAAAATGATATATTCTATATGTTTTGTGAAAAAATTCCATACAACACTGAGACCATCTGGTACCACTCTATACCAACTTCATTTTAAAATCTAATTTAAAACAAATTTGTATGGGAGGAACGAGTTCATCTTGATCTATTGTGTTCTACAAATTTTAAGAAACATAGAACCCTGTTATAGGGATGTTAGTTGTAACTTGTGGTAGACAATGATGAATGGTGGTTAATATATTCCTATTGTCATGTATACAATCATTCTACACTATGATTTATTCACACCACCACGGTACACTCAATACCATCGTGATATAATATTACCACCATGATGTAAAATGGCAATATATATCTCAATTTTTTGTTCTGAAATATATCAAAGTGGTTGTTATTTTCAATATGTTATATGGTCAGGTACGAATTCGATTAAAAAGGTTATATGTGGTGAGTAACAAATTAGATTACCGACTGAATTTGATATGCAGCTATTTAAGATACAATTTAATAATATATCTATCTAAAATATAGTTTGATCTATTGATAATACCACTAATTTTTAACTAGAAGGTGTCAGACTCGAATAACATCTTTTGAAAAATCATATATCACATATATAAAAGAACAGGGCAGGATTAGCTCTTCTTTAGTAAAGGCTCCTTACACGTTAAGTAGTGTCCCATTTAGTTTACTTCTGGTTCTGGACGACACGCCAACGCGGAAATAGAAATAAATATAAGAAATCAGTGTGTGAAACAGAATAGCAACAGTATAAAATGCTATATGGGAATAGCAATGGCATGCAAGGAGCAGAATCCAAGGGAAAGGACGCGTATTTCACTTTCACAACCAACGTCACAAAAGCAGTGGATCGCGGAAGCCAAAGGAAGCAAGGAAGAAGGAAATCGCCAAGAAACCTGGACCTCATTTGCCCAATCATTTCGGCTTAAGCAAAAAAAAGCATTTTAAAATAATAATAGGAAAAAAAAAGAGAGAGAGGTAGCCCCTTTGATTTGGTATTTAATAAGTTAGATTTTCTTGACTACGTTGCGGGTAAGTAAACTGCACTGGCCGTCGCACCATTCTGATTCGGAATTACTCCACCTCAATCACTTGCTGATCCGTCGCACCATCATCATGATGAGAAGGCAACCCCCGGCCGTACTGGTCAGGCATAATAATTCAGGCCGCCTTCTCCGGCAGCAGCAAGTCCGTCGACCATCTTACGATTCTGTCCATAATAATAAGAAGTTGAGTACTCTTATTTCTCCATCTCCCGACCTTGTTTCACACAACCATCCAGTCGCAGCTCCTCCAGCCGAAGACAAACATACACCTGATCGTGATCCGGCCACCGCCGGCGATTCTGTCCTGGTCAGTACACATATATTATATATATTCATCACCTCGCCGCACCACTTACGTGTATATATATATATAGCAGTACATCACATTATTATTAAATACAGTACTACCGAGCTAGGTCAAGTAATGATCAACTGCTTAATTAATTGATTTCAGAGCAATCTTGGAGTAGTAGTATTAGATTGCAGCAGTGCCACGGACGAAAGGAGCTTGCCCGTCTCAGTTTGTCCTAGGTGTGTAGATGTGCACGTTAATTTGAAGTGCAGCACAGCAGCAGCAGAAGAAGAAGAAGCATGGGGCAGCATTAGTACTACTACCTCTCTGTCCTCCTCCACTCCCGGGACACTTGATGGTGCGCGCGATAAACAATTACTGTTCATAACTACCTACACAAATTAGATTTAAGATTTCCTTCAACCACTGTGAATCTGTGATAATCTACTACTAGCTAGGTATCTGGATACACAATTAGCTAGCTAGTGTCGCGCATGGAATAGTGTTGATTAATTGCGGTGAGTGCAGGGTGGTGGTGGCGGGAGGAAGAGAAAGCGTTCCCACCAAAGAAAAGAAGGCTGAGCTTGGACTACTTCTACCTGTGCAGCAGCAGCAGCTGCAGCTTAATAAAAATTGATGATAGCTACGCTGAGGAAACCAGTAGTGGCAGTAGTAGTATTCCTCTGTCGATGACAAAGAAAGGAGGTGGTCGGGGCGGCGGAGAGCGGAAGAGAAAAATGGTCACGATGAGCGCTCTACTCCGACGGACTTCCCCGGCCGGCGGCCCCGTTTAGTGGCAATATCATTACGTGCCAGTGAGCTACTTCATTATAAACCTGCATATCTTCATCACTGCGCTTTGTATATATGCAAGTAAACGCAGTGGAGAGAATGCAAACGGACTGTTTAAAAGACCTATAATAATTTATTAGAGGAGCAGAGGCGCCAGCTAGCTGGACATGGGTTTTTGAATGCGAATTGTTACATGTTACTACTTACCCACTCTTTACTCTAGCTTCTCCTTCTACTGTATTTATCTAACTGATCAAGACTCGATTGAGGCGCGGAGGCAGCATTTCAAACCGCCCCTATCCTCTTTTCATAATTTAAATATATACTTATTTAATAATAAAAAATAATTAAAATTATTTATATTCAATTAATTCATTCATATATTAAAAATAACCGACTATATAATCATTGTTTTCAACAACCACAAAGGGATTTAATATTGTGAAAGAAACGCAAAAACATTTGTTGTCTACACTATTAAAAGTCTCTTTCAATGTATCTCATTAAACAAGAATTAGCAAACTGGTCGCCAAACCGACTTGGAACTTGTTCTTAATATAACTCAAAGCTGAAAATGCTCTTTTATACTTGCAGCTGTAATTGGTAGAATCAAAACTAGTGGATTGTCGTTGTCGCTAGACAATTCCAGAGTTTTTGGGGAAAAGATCGGATAGACATAAGGAGAAAAGAGATTTGATTAGATCTTTATTACAATTGGAATTTTGTTTGTAGTATAATAAATTAATTTTATGTTAATTTTTGAACAAGTAATGAGTTGTAGTGACGAAATATAATATATATGGCATATTTTTGTTCCTCCGAAATTTTCCCCTGTCCCAAGACAAGAACAAAAGGCCCTGCCTCCTATTAGGGATGGCAACGAGGCACAATGGGGCGCGTAGTGGTAGATCCGCGCTCTGCTCTGCGATTATGTAATTTGCCCCGCTTTGTCCCGCGATCCACCACGGATTAAAAAACTTTAATACGTGCACCGCCTCGTCATTTTCTTGTTAAAAAAATTTACTTGCTAAAACTTAAAAAGATGGAACATATATAATAAACTTAAATTGCAAGATGTAGTGGCCACTGCCACTGGCTACCAAATTCTAGCAATATTCCCAACTACAATCATAGAAATTAAAATGACAACGAAAAGCAAATTCTCTAGATAAACTAAAAATCCATCAATGCTCCCAGATCAAAAGTGAAGTGTTGGAGCAATAACATAAATCATAATCTCCCCAATCTACACTAAAGTTCATTGACAAAGAAACAAGTTCTTCTTCTCCATCCAAAAGCAGTGATCACTAATTCACCATGCCAAAAGCAAGTTCTCCTTTTCCAACCAAAAACAGTAGACAACAGTAGCACCTGGTGAGAGGAAAACAAGAGAAACATAATGAAAATTGGATTCTTGACCAGCTGCATATATAAACCTGGAGTTGTACAGTGCAAAAGTAAGAGAAAAACAATAACCTTGACTTAGAAATGACCATGCATAAACTAGCTTTGACCTTTATTAGCACCCTCTTCCTGTTGCTGCAAATTAACATCAATCTCATCTAATGCATCATCAAACAACCGAGGAAACTAAATGGCAGAGAAAGAAAATGGTTGCAAATTATAACATACCTGAACTTCAATCTCCACCTCTACATCAGAATCATATAGAACAGTACCACGGGAGTAATCCTTTGATGATCAGCTATACATATATTCAAAGAATTGAAACAAATGTAAGCTATTGACAAAACTATAAACACAAAAAAGTTTTAACATTTTAAATGGCAGTAACAACAGTGTTAAAGTAATTACCTTTTAAACCACCAAATAACCAACTCTGAGTACACATCAATGTTTCTATGGTAATCGGGTCAAGCCTACTACGCTATGGAGAAATTATCCTTCCACTCGTACTGAAAGCAGATTCGGAAGCAACCGTAGAAACTGGAATCGCTAAGATATCCCTTGCAAGTTTATGCAGTATAGGAAATTTGTCTTTGTTTGACTTCCACCAGCATAAAACATCAAAACCTTGTGTTTTAGGAAAAATTCCATCATCCAAATACACATCCAGCTCTGATCTTGCAATTTTCCTTTTCTTCTGGGAAGCATAGAAATCAAACTTGGTAGTAAACATTTCTCCATCTGCTGCATTTGCTTGTGAGGCCCTCATATGATTATGCTCTTCAGTATCCTCTTCTTCTCTATCTTGTTCCTCTTTTTCATATTGTTGGTATAAGATACGACAAATGCCCAAAATCTTCTCTACTTCCTCTTCACAATTCTCAGGATAGATCTCACCATAGTAACAGTTCAGCACATCTTTTTTGTACCTTGGGTCAAGAACCGCTGCCACTCCCATTAAACCATGCACATTAGACCAATATTTGTTAAACTTCTCTATCATATCAAACGCCATCTTCTCAATTGCTTCAATCCCACAAACACTCCAACGATCTAAAGCAAGCTTAGCCTCACAAATAACGAGAAACACAAATTCACAGTAGGGTATTTAGTGCCAGATAACAGTGTAGTGGCATTATAAAAAGTCTTCAGCCTATCACATATTTCCTTGCTCAAAATCCAATCATCCTCACTTGGATAACACTTGTACTTTGGTTCACTAATTTTCAAGCGAGAAAATACCTCTTTATACTCTAAGGTTGTATTCAGCATCATATAGGTAGAGTTCCAACGAGTTTCACAATCAAGGGTAGGCTTCTTACCAGATGTGATACGAAGCTTGTTTTTAAGTTGACAAATAGTTTCTTCAAATTTTTCCAATCTCTTCGGGGTTCCTATACATAATTGAATGTTGTTTCGTATTTTCTCAATTCCTGGTCCAATGACCTTCAACCCTTCCTTCACGATCAAATTGAATATATGCGCACGGCAACGCATGTGGATCAAAGTACCATCAACCAAAAGAGACTCCAACTCGAGCTTGTGTAGGAGCAGATTCACCATCACATCATTGGTTGAGCAATTATCAACCATGATATTTGACAACTTATGGTCAATATTCCAGTCCAGCAAGCACTGCTTCAGCTCTTCACAAAGTGCTTCGCCTGTATGTGGAGAATGCACATATTTAAACCTGAAGTAACAGACAAATGAAAGCACTTGAGTTTGAAAACTAAAAAAGTCATTGTAATTGTAAGAAACAAACCAGGCAGCAAGAAACAAACCAGTCACAAAGAACTAAGTTTGCAGAATATGGTATACCTGATAATTCGATTCTGCAATCTCCAACTTTCATCGATGTAATGGGCAGTGATTGCCATAAAGCCCTTATTCTGAGATGATGTCCACATATCAATTGTTATAACCACACGACATTCACTTCTTTCAAAGAGTTTCATTGTTGCCTCCTTCTCGAGATCATATAAGCTAAAACAATCTTTTTTAATTGTGTTCCTTGACACCATCTTGAAACATGGATTTAAGCTCTGGAAAAAAGCTTCGAAATCCTTCTTGATCCACTATGGTTAGGGGATACTCGTGCTTGATAATTGCTCTTGCAAGCTCTTTGCGAGAATTATCTTGATCAAAGCTGAAAGGAGTAAGCTAGAACTTATCTTTACCCATGTTACCTTGTAAAACTTGTTGCTTTATGTCTGTGGCTTTCCTTTTAGAACATCTATAAAAGTGATTCTTCAAATGGGTTGTCCCTTGCTTCGGGTCTCCAACAAGCTTCTTACTGCAATACTTGCATTTAGCCTTTGGCACTGCGTCAACTTCTACCTTATGATAATGTGCCCACCACTTTGAATAAACCTTCCCCAGTGTACCAGTACCACCACGCTGGTGATTCTCGTTATTATTTGTTGCTTCAATAGGGGGATCTTGAGGCTGGACAGCAACAGCATTTGAAGGGTTTGGTACAACCACAGGTGCATATTCATGTTCATTTGGGTCAGATTGTGGAGCAGAAGCGTCCATGACTATGGCTGCCGACAGGGATAAACAAATAATAACAATCAATACAACAAATTGAGATTGCAATCTGGAGGCGTAGAACGATGAACAAATTACTTAAAACAGGACAATCGGCACAAGAAATTAAGATTGCAATCTGCAGTGTAGAGCCAACTTACAAGTAATAGCAAGAACACAACTTGACCTCGGCAGCTCGTGCTTGGCAGTGAAGGAGATGAAGATGATATGTTATTATGAATTTTGATAGTGTAGTCTTATGCGAGCCCTTCATCTTCTATTTAAAAGCCTCTAGTTTATGGGGAAGCTAATGGAGTTATTGATGATAGAGGGAAAAGTTGGAAGATGATTGGGAATTTGGGAAGACGGAAGATGATAGGGAATTTTGGGAAGTTGGAAGGTGATGGGGAATTTCAATTTTGGGAACTCAAAATTGCTAGGGTAGATGACAGAGGCAGACAGGCAGCCCTTGCACGCACGCCACAAATGGATATTATGCGGGGCGGGGCGGAGCGGGGCATCACCAGTACCCATGCCTGCTCTGTTCAAGCTGCGGGACGGGGCAAGATCCGCTCTGTCCTGTCACAGATCGGGCTTTATCCGTCGGATCGGGCCTAAACTGCAATCCCTGCCCCCTATGCCTCTGGGGATTGGGATTGGAAGCATTAAAATTCATCGCAGAAAGTTTCCGTGATGGATTACGTCGTCGCAAAAGAGAATAAACATTTGTCACCTATACAGGGTCACAGAAAGTTCAGCAACGAAAAAATGAGTTCGTTGCAGAAAGAAAGGAATTCGTTGCAGAAGGTCAACGATTCTGCGACGAAGATGTCGTCACAAAATGATCATTTGGCGACAACAAAGGCTCCCTTGTTGCAGCAAAGATAATTTTCACGACGTATTATTTATTTCGTCCCAAAAGTTAATA